CTGCATCTGGAGGTGTAGATGTCTGTGATGGTGGGGAGGCTGATTCCAACAGATTTCTGTGCAGCCTTCACCACTCTCTGCAAAGCTTTTCTTTCTGCAGCTGTGCAGCCTCCATGCCACACATTGATGCTCGAGCACAGGATGCTCTCCACTGCACACCTGTAGAAGGAGGTGAGGACTAAGCTTCCCAGACCAGCTCGCCTCAATGATATCTACCTTGAGTCTGTGTTGGTCCACTTGGTTCTGAAACGTCCAAATTAACATGACCACACCGATGGAACAAGACTGAGTAAAATCCCCAAGATCTGATCCATTCTGCCCAAAGCATTTGAGTCTGGGTACTCGAGGCACGAACCAAGCCATCATAAAGGCAAGCAGCGTGATCGGGTCCAAATTTGCTGCAGACGACTTCCTTGATTGTAGATAAAACCAGCAAGCAGCCGAATCCAAAAAGCAGGAACCAGTTATCGTGAATCCAATTAAATATGTGTCCTTAAAATCCACAGATGGCAGCAGAGATAGACACATCATCAAGTCTTCAAGTCGATGAGATATCCAGCTGCGTGCGTGCCAACAGAGCAAATCGGCTCGCCTAAAGCCTGTCTTCTCTTCGAATAAATGTTGTAAATTGAGTTGAGGGACCAACTGATCAAAAAAAAGTCCATAATTATGGTTCAGGAGGTGCAAGAGAGGCTCAGAAGCAGTTTCACAGACAGAAAGAGCAGCAAAGCGGAGAGGGAGGGAGAAGCATCTGATCTCGGCGAGAGCAAGTGGTGAAGTGACCAGTTAACCAGTGAATACTGGGTGCAGTGGTGGGTACAGTAGTTAAAGCCTGTTCTGAATCTTAGTGTACCATGATAGACAGCATCCAGCTTCTAACAAGGACTTGTCATTATGTATAAATATTCATATACATTTTATTTTTATATTAAACAGCAAACAAAACTTTTGCAAAGTTTCAAAGGTGCCAATTAACCAAGTACCTAACTACAATTTTGTTCCCGACTTGTTTATTTAAGTTTTACTTATTAATAATGTTGATCACATTTGAAAAAAAGTTTTATTGATGTCTTGTTTTCAATTTCACACCATATCTACACTTAAAACTCACAAAACTGTCACCTTTAGTCCCTCATGTTAAAATAAATGGTTATGGTTGTGATGTTAGTTTTGAGACTTTTACTTGAAAACATTTTTAATTCATCGATCACCTGATTCAAATATTGAATCATTCACCAATCACATCATGACAATATTGGAAAAAAGTTCTAATAAATCAGTTTTTTTGTGTGGAGATTTTAATATAGACCTGGGAAATAAAACAGACTCAAATAATATCGGAACATTTATAAACTCAATGCACAGTTTAAATCTTTATCCATTGATTTCAAAACCCACAAGAATTACTACCCATAGTGCTTCAATAATTGACAACATTTTTACAAATATAACAAATAAAGAACTTATGGGTGGCATTTTGATCACGGATGTCAGTGACCACCTACCAGTCTTCACTATCTATAAAAAAGATCAATATGATGTGAAAGTAGATAAAATTATGGAAAAAATAATAAACACATCAAAGAAATCTGTAGATAAACTAAAAGAAGATTTAACAAAACAAACTTGGAAGGGTGTATATGTTGATGATGTAAACAAAGCATATGATGTATTTATGAATATTTTAGGAGCTTTATATGAAAAAAATTGTGTACAAGAAAATTACACAAAGAAACGTGTTGATGACAAACCGTGGATGACCAAAGGGTTAAGAAATGCTTGTAAAAAAAAGAATTACTTATACTCA